CGGAGATAGAGTCCCATCTCCGAAACGTCGTTTTACGTTTTATATTTACTAGACGATGGATAATATCCAAGAAAATTTTTATTCAATTGACTCTTAACCATCGTCAAGAAGTTTTAGATTTGATATCAATTCAGTATTTCTTTTAAATAAAAATTTCGTACTTACTTTTGCTTTTCGTTTCTATAAGGCACTGCGCCATGATTTCGCCGTCCTTGTTCGAAAGTTTTTGTTTGTCCCGATTGCAGCACTTTTCTCCCAGAAACACACCAAAAATAGGAATTAATTTTATATTACGTAACAGCCTTCAAAATTCTGTTATCATATACCCACGTGATTTTTCATAACCAGTCTTTGTTTTAAATTGCATTTAACTTTAATATTTGTGTACGATATGTACTCCAATATAAAGTAAATAAAAACTTATTTAATAGCTTTAAACTTTCGTTTCTCAGGCATAGGACGAGGTTCGTAACATTCGTGTTGGGTCTTTAAAGTTTTGATACTGATAGACTACACAAACGGATTGGGAGAGAATTAATATAAGTCTGATATTGAAGTACACGTCCATGAGATTTTATAGCATTACATGTGTAAAAACATTAACATCGTAACATAATATAGAGCTCTAATAAAATAGAAAGAAAATAATTTCAGACACCTCACAGTTTCTCCGTAGCGTGATTTGGTCTTCAATTAATAAACATCAAGACCAAAATGACATTTAAAGTCATGTAGGCGCTTGGGGGGAGAGGTTATCAGATACTAATCGTTCGTGACCTCGGCACTAGGTGGGAGTGAGTGGTCAGGGTTACGACCCAGCCGTGAAAGGTCACCGGTACCCATTGGACAAGAGGCTTGGTGGGTCCCAGAACCAGTCTGGACGCAGAGGCTAGAGGAAAAATCTTTTGCCCCTGTCGGGGATCGAACCCTCGACGTCCCATCCGTAGTCAGCCACTACACGGACTGACAAAATTGCATCCACAATAACTAAAGTCAATAAGAGAAATCTGTACATTATTAAATTTGTATTTATACAATTAAATTGACGCTTGGCTTCAAAATAATTTCAGTGTATTGTTTGTAATATGGACTTCATTTTGTCTATTTTAAGTGTTAATTTTAAATTCGCACATGGACCTTCTAAAAATGTCTCCACATTTCGAAGTCGTTAATTAAAAATTTATAATAATAAAAGCAGGTTGGCTTTTTCAAATTTATCCGGTCTAATATATACATATAATTTACCTACAGTGTTTGTTTATAATTAGTTTGATACATTTAGGCGCTTAAAGTATCTGTATATTGCTAATAATTGTGGTAATACTTTTGGTAAAAAAAAACTGCCCCACAAACTTCAACTTTCTGTCAACATGAACTTTATTGTAATGTTATGTTGGTTTCGAGGACATACTGACCTTCACCCTCCAATAATTTTCAATTCTCTGTTTTACAAATGCGTTTTCGCTTTTGTTATACACTCGGATTGTCCGCCTACGTGAAATGGCGTCCTGATTGTGTTTGTCGGACGACATGAAGGTCGTTCTCAAACAAATGGAAGCACGTAGCTTTATTTCAGATTCACTTGAATGCGATGTGGGAAATTTGTACCGGATGTCAAATTTACAATTTTGTATATATCTTTTATCATTTGAAGAATTATGACTACAGATATTTCAAGCTAAAGATTTTATAAAAAAATTATAAATATGGATTCTCATCCAAACGTTCCTTTTCATAGACACTACTAAGAGATTTATTCTGAAGAGTTCCGACCAATTTGTAATAAAATCTGTATTGTTGGGTTTTTGAACTTTGTCCATCGTCTGATGTTATAAGATTACACAGAATTTCGAAAACTGGACCTGTCTTCGTCTTCAGGCGTGGTAAAGTGATTAAGATTAGCTCATTCTAACGGGCAACACAGAATAACATGGTGCCCTCCCACTCCACTACACTTGAAGACGAGGACAGACTCAGTTCTCACAAAGATGTGTAATTTTATAACATCAGACAATAGACAGAGTTAAGAAACGGATCAATCTAGGACCTAGATTCTAGGTAATAATTTAATAAATAAAACTTCTTCCTGAATATGTAATAACTTCCTTTGTGCTTATTTTTTTATTGTAATACATAACAAACTTTATTAAACTATTTTCGAACTAACGTAAGGTTGAAAGATAGATTCACGCAGGAACAATGGATAGAATTTTGACGAGAATCTTTGAAATTAATTACGATAAACGATACTCTAAAACTGCAATAATCTTTTGCTGTATATACAACGACAGGAAAGCTTATGATAAGGCCTATAATAAGCTTTCAGGCAAGAAATATTAAAAATAAATGTAAATATCTGCAAAATTCCTCTCGGTAACACTTTGGTCGCTCTGTAACATATGTTGTGACACTTAAAATTATTCATTGTCTGGACTTTTTCCATCGTCCTTGATCAAAAGGAAGAAACCACGACGTTTCGGTAACTGGCTCTGTTTCCGTCTTCAGGCGAGAGATATCTACTCAGTTTATTTCGTTAGCTAGAGGTAATCTCTGTCGTAGTTTCTTCTTTTTGAACAAGGACGATGGAAAAAGTCCAGAGAGTGAATAATTTTAAATGTAATCCAAAATCGTCAGATCCCTTTAGAGTTGAATATGTTGTGACTTTCGGAGGTAGCTGGAACTCAGAATTATATGTTCTTGGCAATTTTGAGTCTCAGATTTCTACCACGAAAAACCTGTTAAGATATTAGATGTAGCGATGTACCTCAATGTTGTTTTGTTCGGTCCAGCGAGCTACTCGTGACAACTTCGTGTCTCCATGCTCGTTATGAAGTGACTCCCCATTAATTAAAGATGAATAACTATTCATCTCCTCACTGCCGGCTTCCATTTCCACAAGATCGCTGAAACCTTAAAATAGACAAAAGATACCTCGAAATAACACAGTAAATAAGCTATGTTGAAGAATTAAAAAAGACTGTTTAAAGTACTTCGTTTCCAATATCTTATATATGTGCAAGTTAAGGAGTGTTGTTCTTGTGATAAACAAGTGTTTTAATCCTTTAGAGCGTGATGATTGTCTGAATGACATTTAGAAATCCAGTTCGGACTTCGAAGAATCTTTGTTCTAAGAATCAAGTGATTAACGTTGTTTAAGGAAATAATCGGATATTACAATAATATTATGAGAATCGTATAAACCCACGAATAAAATCTGTAAAAATCCAGATTTCGTAAAAGTTGAATGGTACGTATACGCACCACTTTTCATTAAGGGGTTAGCATTTGAATCTCAGTGGTAAGTTTGCCTATTTACCACACACTTCAACATTTTGCCCACAAGATGTTTTTTATGAGTTCCTAATTGCTCTGAGAATAAACAGCCATTATTTGTTCTGGTTTAGAGAGAATTAAACAACTGATTATTGCGACAAAGACGTATTATATATATATATATAGAGTATTATTTAAATGAACGCAAAATTATAGTACACAAACTATAAATTCAGCGTAAGTCTATTAGCTACTAGGAAATTTTAGGACTTTGGAGTTCGAAATTCTGTTCCTGACTAGCGTTGTAAATACAAAGATAGTGGCTTCGTGTTTTAATCACAGTGTTTTAATCACGAATTTTTTTTTCCCGAATACAGCTGGTTAGCAACATCCTAAGATTTGCATTTATTTGAAATTTTATGGTATATGACTAGTACGCTGGAATATATGTTCCTTATTTATACCTTTATGACCGAGTGTGACATTTTTTTGGCCCTTAATTTGAATGAGTGACATCAGCACCGTTGCCGTGAATTTGGATTATCGCGAACATCTTCCTGAAGTGTTAAGCTGTGGAGTCATGATTCTTATGGGACATGACATGGAAGTACGTTCCAGTATCGATCTATTGAGTGGTGAGTTGAAGACTTACAAGTTCTGATTAGACTTACCTCACATAATGGTAAAATTGTAGGATTTGTACTAAATGTGGTGTGCTTGAGAAAAGCAAAAATACGTGGGATGGTCGAAACGTCGGAAGAAATCGCTCTGAGATTGATTTCTTGTGCAGACGTTTCCTGCACCTCGAATAATGAGCATGATAGAAGGTCTCCGGCTACACCAAAGTTGTTTCTTTGGAAGAGGAGATTACAGAAACGAAGGCTACAGCTCATAAAAGCTATCCTGTATTCATTTCGTGTTGGAGGTGTTATCTGTGTTTACGAATACTAAGGATGATAGAAAGACGGTCCAGAGGAAAAATTTGTCCGTTTCTGCGAGGGGATTACATAAACTAAGGTCATAAACACGAAAACTCCTTTATTCTTACATCGGTGAAGATGTTCTGTAGGAATTTTATCCTATGATGTCGAAAAATATCTATCGAATTATGAGGCGTATGAAAAGCTTTCGGGGAAATAAGATTGCCATAAAATGGAAGTATTTGTCGAATTCTTCCACGGTAACATCTCGGGCATTATACTAATGCGTTCATAATTTTTCAAAACTGTCGTGCAGTTATTGACAGCTAATGACAAACATCTAGGACTTTACTGGAATCAATGACAATCAATTATGACTTTATTATATCTCAGAGACATGCCCTGCCCACACACTGATTATGTTTTCAGCGAAGGAAAGGATTTCATACTATATCTGATCTCGAAACTAAGCACCGATGTGACATTTCCTGCTCTCAATCGTCATAAATTATTGGTCATTGCTCTATAATGTGCGTAAACACTCGTCTCTCACGTTAATTGAAGAACACCAGTTGAGGATGTCTGAGAATATGATACTGAGAAGAATATTTGGACCTCAGACGGTTGAAGCTATAGGAGGTTGGAAAAAACTGCGTACTGAATACATTCATATTTCGTACTCTTCACCAAATATTTCTAGGATCACCATATCGAGGAAGGTGAGATGGGTATGGCACGTAGTGCTAATGGGGAGATGAGAAATACGTACATATTTTGGTTGCAAAATGCGAATTGTAGGAAGTACCTTAAGGATCTAGACATAAATGAGAGGATATTGTTAGATCTAGGCGAGATTTTGTTGGAGTTCGTGTAATGTATTCATGGTTAATCTATATTCATTATATAAAATAAATAAATTATTCCACCGTAAGAAGATATACATAGAATATACTCCAACCAAGTGCGGGAGCTGGAAATTTGTCTTGTAAACAAGGTAATGAACTTTCGGGTTCCATAAAAGGCGGGGAAATTCTTGATAACTTAGCTTGCTTTGCGTTTCTGAAGAAGAACTTCACTCCATGGAGTCAGTGTCTGCCCCAAAGTAGTACAGAGGAAACAACTGTCTGCGAAATTAGTAAATTATGTGAAACGTAGCTAAATTTATGATGCAGTGCGTTTTTATATTAATTTAATTTAATGTAATCTTTACTACCTTCTCGGACAGCAGACTTTCATTTTGATCTGTATTAGAAATTTTATGAGATGATAATGTTGCGTCATATTGTGATGAATCATAATTGTTTAATTTTAACCGTCTAATCACAATAAAATATTTTATTTAATATTAAAATATTAAAATATTATTACTACAATTAACATTTAATATTTAAAATATTTTAAATATGTTAAAATGATGATCATTATTTTAACATATTTTAAATACTTTAACATATTTTAAATATTTTAAATATTAAATGTTAATTGTAGTAATAATATTTTAATATTTTAATATTAAATAAAATATTTTATGTTAAAGTATTTAAAATATGTTAAAATGATGCTCATCATTTTAACATATTTTAAATATTTTAAATATTAAATGTTAATTGTAGTAATAATATTTTAATATTTAATAAAATATTTTATTGTGATTAGACGGTTAAAATTAAACAATTAGAAATTTTGTATGGTAATGCTTGCCATTTGCTTGGAAGATATATAAGGCGAAATAAAGTAAAAATTTACTTACATCTGCAATAAAAGAACAGACAGGTAACATAAGAATGCAAATTGAAGAAGATGGTGTTTAAGATAAGCTTGTATTATACTGATGTGCATATTTTCAAATATGATTATATGCGATTAGAATTTGTGAGTCAATACAGAGATATTAATATCATGGCTAGTACTTACTCCTTTTGCCGTTTGGTAGAGCTGAGCAGATCACGAATCCACAGACCAAGGCTGTGTAGAACAATTTCTCCATGGTGAACATGATTGCCAGTAATAATGCTGTGTCAAAAATTGACTCTTATAAACAGCCACAAATGCCATCTCATTTCGTGCGCATATCATCGCGACAATAGGTGACGTTTCGCTGTGGACGTATCCATTTCCGCAGCTGTGATGATATTTTGTGATAAGTACTTCAAACGCTACACTTGCTGGAATGCAATGCTTCAAAGAATCGGGTGGAATTTTTTAAAACAAAAGAATTTCGTACTATCTTATATCTCTTTTTGTAAATGCATAAGAGCGATTTGTCCATTCTATTCAAATGACCTTCTTTTGGTAAGAATCTGATTGCTTATTCAGTTCGGGACTTAACGTTCCCAAAAGTGAGCGATTTTTACCTTCATAATCGTACACGAAAGTGTGGGAGTTCATTTCAATGTGTATAAAGATTGTCGGTTTTGATAAATCCACTAAATCATAAATTCTTTTGTAAACTGTCCTGTGCCAAGGCTCCTGTCTGAGGACCAGAATCAGAATCGACTTCTCGTTTGTCAGGAGCTCAAAGATCTTGCAAGAACCGACCCCAACTTCCTTTCTAAGCTCTGTGTGACTTCTTCCTCTTCCCAAAGATGAAAATTCAGCTAGAGGGCAGGAAATTTGAGACGACAGAAGAGATTCAGGCAGAATCGCAGATGGTGCTTGACAGGCTGACAAAGAAAGATTTACAGGGATGCTTCCAGGCTTGGCAGCGGCGCTGGGATCGTTGTGTTCACTCCCAGGGGAACTACTTCGAGGGTGATGGATGAATTTAATACCTGAGATAAGTGTACGGGTTTTTATAGGCGCAGTCTTGAAACTTTCCGATCGCACCTCGTACGTCAACAAATTATGAGAGGGAATGAAACATTGAAAGGACTTTTATTTTGCGTCAAGACTGATGTTGGCAGCAGTGAAAAGTCAACTGATAAAGTAGTGTAATGTATTTAATTTATTTTAATTTCAGTTTTAGTACTAATTCTATGTATATGTTGGCTGTATGCATTTGATACTTGATGCAATATATTTAGTGTTTACGAAACTGGGTGCAATCGGCTACATGGTTTCATCTTAATTGAAATTATATTGCATAAATTAAAATATTTGAAATAGTTTATTTACTTGATTTCATTTATGTAAACAGTATTAATAGAGTCTGATTGTTCGAGATGCTAAGACAATGTCAAATGCTTTTGTGAATTGTTAATGTATGACATAATACTCGCAATTCATCTGTTGCAAAGTTTCGGATTACAACATTTTGTTGTATCTCCAGTCTTCTAATATATACGCCGAAATGTGTTGTATTTTTCGCCTGAAAAGATACATTCATCAAATGTATTATGAAATATTCAAATATATATTTCTGAGCAGTCTTATATAGCCTAAGCGAATCAGATCATGCTGGTATATTGAACAGTCTGACATGCATATAAGATGACAAGCGAAACGTAAAACAGTGAAAGTTAGTTACAGCGCGCTTTGCTGTAATGAATACATCTACGCATACTTAAAAGAAATTCAGCACCAAAAATTATGCAGAATATAATTTTTTATTTTACACTTGGATATAATTTTATCGGTATTTATTACTAATATTTTTAGTAATATTATTACATCACATTGCTGAATATCTGTCCGTAATACATGATAAAATCCTGCCTTAATACACTTTACATGGGAACTTCTGAAAAATAAATTCGTATATAATGAGGTGCCATGTGCACAACATTTTGAAGATCTGTGCTGTTTGCTGAATTAAAGTCTATTATAAATGTTATTCCTAATACTGCTGCTATAAATTGAAGTTCTTGCTCTTATTTAGTGGTTTAATAAACTGGTTAGAAATGACAATCGAAGTTTAGCGGGAAATGAAAATGTCGTACTTTTCTGCATGTTGCACCAATAAATATATTATTAAGTAACTTAAAATGTAAACATTCAAAACATCGAGATGTGTAACATTACATTTCCTTACGAAAGAATAATATTTTTGGCCACACCTGTGCATAATTTCAGTGACAAAATTGAATATATTTCCTTATTTGTCTATCCAGGAGGTATATATTAAAGAAAATTAATTTGACGGACAGAAATTTAGTCGTCATATAGCATGATCACAAATTAAGCCACAGTTTGAAAAGCTTGTAAATTTTTAAAATTATTCAAACCACATTTTCGAAATCGAATTACTCCAAAATAGTGACCCAACATTGACGTGAACAAAGCATCAAATTTTTGCTCTCATGTGGAACAATTATTCTTCCAATTTATAACCTCAATAGAAATTTATACCTTTTAAACTCTATATCAATTTTTGAGTATTTTGTAAATATAGAGTGAATTTAATTATTTTAAATGACTGGACTGCATTTCGCTGCACTCGTAACAACTGTTTATTTAATGTTTATATTATTTTAGCGTTCAGACACTGCCTGAAGTTGTGTTTTTTAAAGTCACTTCTTTTGTTTATGTGTTATGTGAAAACTGTTGTATACTTTACGTTGTTTTTATATATATTACTAAATTTTTACTAAAAACTTGCTTTGCATTTCACCTGCAATACGCACCGTTGTATTTCCTACTTTTTCATCAGATTGGCGTTTTGATCTACAACGCGAGGGCTGATCTTGTAACAACGAAAAAGTTAGAGTTTCATATTTTTTGAATGGAAGAAACTGAGTTTCTAAACCATTGAAGCCGAAATGTGAGCCCAGATCTTGAAATATTGAATCTCAATTAATATAATTGAATACACAATTTTTGTAATCGTTTATTTATAACGATGTACTTACTTCTTACAATAACAACAAAATTTCTTTACATTAAAAATATTAATAATATAAACTCAAATTAAAAATTGTTTACTGTATCACTCAGCTGTAATTGTCGTTGTTACTTTTTAATTTTAAACAAATTAAAAAATGCACACACAGCGTAACAATCCTGGCGCGTTTATTCAAAGTCCTTATAAATTTTCCACAAGGAAATTCCTCGTGTGAGTCGTAACTTCCCTTCATGGCACAGCGCGCAGTATTATTGTGAATTTCCTGATATTTGTCTTAAATCTTAATCAAAATGGGAATGAGCTGACACATATTAGTGAAATCCTCAATTTCGCGTTTCGTCAAAATCATTTCGAAACGATTTTAACAGGCAGTGCGCTACGAACAAACGATACTCAGAGGAATATGACTGAGGAAACTCTTATACATTTCATTGTTAAATGTATCTGAGTCATTGATTACATGACTAGTAACTTTTAAAGAACTAGGACAAATGGCTCCTTTCGGATATTATTACACTACAATTTTACTAAATACAAGGGAATACACGGAAAATTAATATATACGAATAATTGTATATATTTATTTTGTACAGTCTATACACAAACGTTTGAAGTTTATTGGTGTTGTAAAAAAATATATAATATTAAAACATTTTGTTGTGTAAAATATTATATTAGCGCTCTTAATCGTAAATACGATTTCACATCATTTTTTTAGCGCTTTTATTAAAACGACATGTTTCGACGGGTAATACCGTCGTCTTCAGGTTTTTATCAATTTAAAATATTTTAAAACTATTAGATATTTAATGCAATATATTATAATGATCCGTAGTTCTGTTTGTAGCTTTCCATTTTCATGGTAAGTTGCTTATTGTAGTCAGACGTTATATTTATCAAGAGGTGTTGTGTAGAGTAACGTGCGTCTGACGGCTAGTGAAGAGAATCTGTGTTTTAATATTATATAATTTTTACAACACCAATAAACTTCAAACGTTTGTGTATAGACTGTACAAAATAAATATATTTAATCAAACACAAACATGACGCATATAAGATACAAATTGAATAATTGTATGTTAATTGGTGTATGTGATGTAAGTTTTGTGGAAACATAATGAGATTTAGTAAATTATTCAATTAAAAATTTAGATGTTAGCGTACTTCTTATTAACTAATTTTAAAGCTATTTTCAGTCCGCTCATAATTTTACATATTCATATTTTTTGAAATAACTTCAGCAAATGTTATTTACTATGTAGTTACTTGTATTATTCCAACTTTCTTTAAATTCAAAACGAATAAAGACGATCATAAGTTTCTTAAGAGCTGTTGATAGATTTCAGTGGGTTACTTACAGGACACGGGACTCTGTAGCGTTGATCCTCTCGACGCCACGCAAGTGGGAGACAGACAGAGCAGTGCAGATGAGGTATTCATAATCTAGGGAAGAGAGAATTTTTCTGGAAGAGTTTTAAATTCTGCAAACTGTATTTATGTGAGTTATGTGAAACACAATTTGTTGTCACACAAAGCGGTTAATTTGCAATGTACGTACGTGTAGTATTGTGGAGTAAAGTTTAACCTTTTGTGTATTCTCTTCCTAAAATATTTCTCATCTGCTTGTGTCCGACTAAAACATTTTGCATGTTAAGTCTAATACATTATATTACAGTATATCCAACAACCTGATGATGCCCAGGGATGTACTTTTTGTGTGAGCAGTGCTTTTGTGTGAATTCATACGTGGCTGAATACGTGCATGAGCCATGAACTGAATTGGACGTAATGTCATGACATTGGTAAAAACTGTTTTACCCATTTTCAGTGACCGTATCAAGTCTGCAAAATTTTGATTATATAATAGTGATTTTGAATTCTTCATCAGTTACAATTATGATTCTTTTCTGAAGGGTTCAGACGATGGCGTAATACAATTTGGATTGTCGAGTTTATGGACCCATATGATATTATAACATCAGATGATAATTACGATGAACAAATCAAGCAGGCTTAAGTCGATAGGATGCGTAGCAAACACGAGAAATATGAGAAACAAGTACAAAGTTTCTGTTGAAATATCTAAAAACGACAACCTGGAAGATACAAATGCAGATAAAATTACGCCACTAAAATTAATTTTAGAGACAATTTGGAATATCGCGACTGGAATACTAAACTAGTCAGGACAGGCCAGTTAGCTTTTCAAAGACCACACTGTTTCAGGGAATCAAGTAATTACTTTTGTAGCACGTTTAGTGAGAATCATTTCGTGGTATATTTTAATGTAATGTAGTGTTTATCACAACTAATATGTGAGCTCTTAACACATTATATACCCTGTTAACTCAATATAAAATATTTCACTGATTATCAAGGCTTTATACCTTGGCCCCAGGTGCTTCAACCCCCAAAGTTGACACTGGATCATCTGTGATACAAACGCTTATGAACAGTATCGGAGACGGAAAGACTGGGTGGTATTACTCAGTGTGGTGAACATTTAGGGATATCCAAGGTCATTTAGTGCAAAGCCATGGATATTAAAAATATGAGAGCGATCGGTGAATCACAGGGGAGATACATAATTTTTAATATTTTGTACCTGAAGCTGGTCAACTTTGGCCGAAACATGTTGTAAAATTAAAATCTGCATGAAACAAGACTGCATCATCATTGGATTTAATAAGAAAGTTGGCGCAAGAGTTTTGTGGACATAGTGTTATATTATTGTGTTTTTGACTGAATATTGTACGCAGATTAGAAATTTTTAACAAGATGCTGTTTTATGAGCAGGAGAGAAAGCCTGTGGAGCAAAACTCTAAAATTAACAGTCCTTCGAGGCTCAGTGATGAGAACTATGCGTGGGAGAAGTCTAGAGAGGTGATGCTCGGTTTGAGGGTGAGTGCTAGAGGAACCAATGTTTCGTGTGGGCAGGGCCCCATGAGGGGGTGTGATTGAGAGAGATCTGTCTGGGAGGAAGGAGCCCGCTGGGACAGACTCCGAAGTGAATGCCCGAGAAGCATAGGAACCTATGGTATTTTCTGTCCTCGCGGAAGGCAGAAGTGTTGCCTAGTTAACTGGGGGCAACTTCGTTGAAGATGGCCAGGCTTTTGTGGGGATCCCCGGTATTTATTAGTCCGGGTTGAGGGGGAAAGAAAAGCCATGGATTTTGAAAGCCTAATGGGGAGGGATAAGGCAAGCGAGTCTAAGTCTAGGGTAGTTCGTTTCTGACGGTTCGAATAAAGTTAAGTGACATGCAAATTGGTTGTATCATGGATAAGGCGGTTTGTCGCCGGCCTCTCATCTCGCGAGATCAGTTTTGTGAGGTTCGTAGTTCACAAAGTAGCACTGGAACTGGTTTTCTGCAGTTCTTTCACCGTTTCATAGGCCTGTCATCGGCTGCACCATATTCCTTCTAGTGTCATCCGGGGGATGGGTAATGGGTCCAGCAACTGCCCAGTTTCAGAAACACTGTCTTACCAAATTGCAAGAACAATATGCATTTACCATGTATTGATGTAAATTCTTTGACAAGTAACATAGTGGAGAGACATCTGATTCAATGAAACAGTAGGGAAGTATAAAAATGTAACAAAACGTAAAACACGTGGTATTCGTTAGCCTGATACGCAAAATTAACGTCTACAATCTATAACAAAGACGTACTATTTTCTGCTTTAGGTGATCAAGGAGCAAGTATGTGTTTAAAACATACCCAGGAAAATATTTGTTACGTATTATTTAGTGTTCTGTCTGATGACAGGTCCATATGAACAGGATCCTTCCATCCTTTTCTCGGACTGGGACCTGTTCATATACGTTCTTGGCAGATGATCCAGAAGTGGTTTGCCATTACCTTCTTCTGTGTGTGAATGGTGTAATTGTTGGGATGCCACGGAGAAACTGGGGAAACTCCGTGTTGCTTAGACCACGGCTTTGCCCAACACAAGTTATAAATTCGGGCACCGCCGGGAATCGAACCCGAGACCCCAGTATTACAAGGCCAGCGTTCTAACCGCTAGACCTACGAATAAAATAAAGCATATGAATATTTTGGGATATTTAGTGAACGAATATCAAGATTATATAGATCATATATTATTGTTGGGACAGTGAGATTTTAGAGGTTTCTATAGACGTGGCATGTGCCCTGATTGGGGGGGGGAGATTTCGTACAAAATATTGATTGAAACATTTTTAATTTGAAGACCTAGAATCTCTGTGTTAGAAGTTGTGAGGCAGGATGGAATAATTGATTCACCTAATATGCCACTGTCATCGTAATGAAATATGTGAGGGTAAGATTGGGTGTTATGTGTTAAGAATTAGGGAAACTAGGAAAGCAGAAATTATTTTTGTGGTAACATTTGCTGCGAAATATCCACTTCGAAGACCAATAAGAAGAAAGTTGTATAATAATATGAGAGATATTTTATAAACTGTTAGTGATTGCGAAAGTTGGATGAAACTGGCTCAGGTCCGTGTCCATGACGGGTTTCGTTATAAGCGGTGACAAATTGTGTCCTGCTGACTCAGTGTTTAATATATTTAGTTGAATTTTGTTTAATGAAACACGGCACTATTGATATATTAACCATTTTGTTTATTTTAGTGTTAGCATTATAATAACAGCGGTGGTATAATATTTAAAGTATATGATGTAATGTACAATCCACTGTCAGTCGGCATACATATATTTAATTACTTGTTTGTTTTTGTTTGCTTTTCTGCAACTCTAGAAGCTCCTTTCGGTATGTATCACACTCCTCGCCTGTAAAACACAGAATTTTATATTAAGAATTGCACCATTGTTTCCCAAATTGCTGTCTGCGAGAACTGTGTAGATGTGTCATATGTTTTGATTATGTAAATCTTTATTTAACTGCAAAAGGATATTATTTTAATAGTTATGGTTACAAATGTCAAAAATTAATCGAACCACCTAAAACAACATCAAGATCCTTGTGCCTTTTCAGGTCACGTACTTTGAAAGATTCAAATACCCTTTTAATTCTATTATTTATGAAATAGTCTTACAAATAACAGATAAGCACCTTTAATTTTTTTAAAATGTTAGTATTGGCCTCTCGTTCATACCTCGTGGGTGCTCAGTACCTCAGCGCCCTCGATGCGTCAAACTTTTAAAGCTTTAACAAATTGAGCCAATAGGCAAACACTTTCTTAAGCTCAATGTAAGTCATTAACCACGAAAACACAATATAGGATTTTGTGCTATAAAATTTTGTTGTCACTTCTGAAACATTATTGTTTCTGTGATGTGCCAAATAAACTCGGCAAAATGCAGTATTCAAATAATTAATGACAACTCGTAGAACATGCACTGAATCCAGCTTGTTAATTGTAGTCTATGAAATACACCACGTTTTACACTTTCAATTCTGTCGTTCTGTAATACAACTTCTAAATTAATTTACAAAGAGTTTTATAGCAATATTTCAAGGTCACACATGGTCATTTCGTAACTTTTCCGACTTAAGTATTTGTTTCTGAACACAAATAAAATAAAATATGTGGAAAATTATGTAGTCTTGTATTAATAGTATGATGGGCATAGTAGTTTAATTACCTATAATCTTAATGGTATCAACTTCGAATATAATGATCATAAATTGGAAACTTGTCAAAACTTATAGTCTTGATAGAAAATAGTAGAGAATTACGAAGGGAATATTTTTAAATAAGAAATCTTCAGATATTGCCTTATTTGTCACAAAGATATTTTTGTATGTTTGTTGAATTAAATTCTTATAAGACACTGTCACTCTCTCTGTCACACACACTCGCATTTGGACTTAAAATGTCACTGAGCCTGGAATTGCTGCGAGTTATAAGTTAAATGGACACTTACTGATTTCAATTTTAAAAGTCTGTTATGATTTGTAAAATTCCTAACCACGAAGTGACTGTGTGGTTCTCAAGAATAAATCTATTGCATAAAGTTGGTTGTGAGAAATGTCATGGGTCAGTGTTTTAACGCCACTTCTGAGGGAAGATGAGGTTGTGTGTTTCATGCAAAATAAATATTTTCTGTGGTTTGTATGCATTCCCTCGTCTTAGAGAATGGGAAACGAGTAATAAACTTACTGTTATCTGTTAGGTCTGCTGGGCAATTCTGAAAATGAGAAGAAATCTATATTATAGTAATATTCAGTCGACATGAAAGATATTTCTCTGAGTGGAAACGAAAATGCACATTGTAAATATGACAAGACTGAAAATGAATTATAAATAAAGGAGTACACTCAATTTCCGCATACGTTGATTATTATAAATCTTCTAGCTATTACTATATTGACATCACAATTATCGGTTACTTTTATATGGTAATTCTTTATTACAACAAATATACTTACCAGAGTAATACCCATTCTTACGCATTTGTAAACTAAAGTTGGTGCCAAATTACACTTCTTTTCGTCAGATCTCTTGTCCAATATTGCTGTAAAGAAATAACGTTTTGACATTTTTACATTTCCACGGTTGTTAAAGCGTGGATGGATATCTTCTGGGTTCTGAACCCACGTAATCTTGGTGGTGGCTACCAACATTTCGGAAGAATTCATTACTCTCATATTTATTTCTACTCTGAATATATAGGAAGTTTGTTCCTCGAAAACTTTTGTTAGCATATTCAAGACCCAGAAGACAGTGATCACGATAAACATTTGTTTAATAGATATGTAGCCAAATCTTTATTTCGATGAATAATATTAAATATCCAGTTATTGGCAAACAATATACTGTAACGTATTAAGTCAAATGCCTTTAATTATGATTTAGTCGTCAATGTTATAAACGAAATTAAGATTTAAATCGTTTTAATGTCTTCGAAATTACATAATGTGATTCAAAATAAATTCGTTTTTGCAACTTTTACTTCAGATAAATTCTGAAGATTATACCTCACTGCTTTCCGAACCTCTGTATCTGATAAAATGCATCTGTTCTTAAGACCAAGTGTGTCGCACAGAGTTTTATGATTGTTTTACGTAATATGTGACAACTGAAATATTACCTATCGATATAATCAACAACATTGTTTGGCAGCTTTTTTGGTCAGTGAACACTTGTTAAAAAGTGATTTTAATCCTTGCGTGATTAATATTCAAGAACTTGTGGACTGTCGTAACCGTTGCTATGGTAATGACGTTAAGGGACTGTAGGCTTGTCGTCTTCCAGATATGTATTTGTTGGTTGGTTATCACTATTAAAATATTTTTAGCCTTTTGGGACAATAAATTCAATGTAGGTGTTATAACAGTTTCTTTAGTAATATTGCTTAGGGGTTTAGGGTATTACGGAATATTATCTATAAGTATCTTTACTACTTAAGATTGTCTCGTTATTCTCGTTGGGAAATTTTATAGGTAACAAGACTTTTAATACAGAATGTTAGGGCTATCCTTCTATCAGCTTTAGATGAATGAAACATGATATAATAATCTAACTATAGTCTTAAGATATTAAGCAAGGAGAAACGTAAATGATCCAGTGGCTTTAGTTGTGATCCTAATCTCTATGTTTTTGCCTTCGAAAGTCGACCTCCTATAAAAAGCATTACTTCATACGATTTCTGCCCCAGAAATTATTATCGTATCGAACATCTATATTTTACCCCATTCAAATAAATGTATTTTAATGTATGCAGTGAATATTAATAAACATTTCATGTACACAAATTAGTCTCTGTATCGAAAATAAGTAAACTCTGTTTCTGGATTCTTCCTTGCTGATTTTTATCGCATATAATTATGGCATTTAAAATTTTATATTGCAAATGATATTTCGAATCAACTCATTCCTGTACCACTTCATGTTTTTAAATTTTGAGTAATTTCAGTACTTTTTATCTCATCTGACAACCACTGAATTTTAATAAATTTTTTTTAAGGAAATGCAATATCATAATATTTTTATTTTCTCTATAACGTGGATCTTTTATACACTTTAGGGCAAATTAAATTAATTTCTGTTCTTATACTGTTTGTCTTTTTGTGAATGTTGGCAATAAATTTTGTCCATTCGAAGAGATAAATTAGTTTTCCTGATACTTCCACTTTAAAAATGTATTAATAACCATATATACTGCAACAGACGAGCCAGGGTGTGTTAAAAATAGTGTTGTGCTCACCTTTCGCTGTTTCGTTAGCCTGAGCGACACATCCCGGAACCAATTCGTTCGCTACGGCCTTCAAATTGTCTTCGCTGAAGGTCTTATCAATAATGTTCAGAAACTCCGATTCTAACACGAAGCCGTCGCTGTCGACCTGACGGACATCAATACTATTTATAGCACCCAGAAGTGATTTTATGAGCTCGAAATCAATTTTATATAATTTGTGATCAACTTACCACTCCCACTTTCTTAGCAAGACATTGAGCAGTTGCCTGAAACGATAAGTTTAAATTATTGTGATGAGTACTAATAGGGACTTGAAAAATTGTCTCTGCATGAAACGTTTTTCATCAACATATACAGGCATATGTATTTTTTATATGAAAAGTATTAATTTATGTCTATTATACAGCAAACGTTATGTCATGTACTGATTTAAAACTTTTTTAAAATTGATAATCAAATAGTATTTTTGAGTTATATAAAGAAGCAATTTTACATGATGCAATGATCGATCTGATTACTACATGTTTGTGTCATTTAGTGTTAGTTAGCTATAAAAGTGTTAGATAATTAGAAACACGTATGAGTTGAAAGCAGGAAGACAATAAGATTATAATTACATTAAATTAATGTAACAGTAAGTAATTTCGTAAATGTAAATAATATACACACAATTTCCTGTTATCAACAGCAGTTTTATAGTTCAACATTCTACTATTACATATTTCTGTGTAAAAAAATAATTTGAGTCATATATTTTGTTGGAAAAATCTGATTACATTTGACACAAGAACGTGTATAATTAACTTCAGTACACTACTAAAAATGTTGAGAAAATGTATTAGCTTAGAAATGTCTTTGGAAATGCAAGTGGTAATAAGAAAATAATATTTTTTAAACGTAAAATGAATTTTATATTTTACTTACACACATTTTATATTTGTGTCCATCTCCCTCGCCGGCACCTATAAACACATTTTGTCAATACACACACTTTATGTTAAATCACATTAAAATATTAGGGCACCAGTGAAAATTATTTAAGTTTCATACAATTTAATTCAACTTAGAAAATTTCATTTTTGCCTATCTTATTATTATTCAAGGAAGGAGTATTGATTATATTAGAGTTCTGTTTGCTTGCGGTGATAGTGTTATATGCATTACGTCAGTAGCAAACATGGTTTTGTTGAGTGATAACGAAACGAGGGGGAGTGTTTATTTTAACTGTGTTAGCCGTGTTAGCCTTGCTAACCATTCGAAAAAGGGAAAATAAATGTCCCCTTCTTTTATGGTAGACTGGTACTTCACACACTGTAAAACAGCAGAACCGATTTATCAAAATCACCAACTTCCGGCTTTATTCCTGCTAGGCATTGTTAGCCCGCTAGTTGAGGCTTACGCTGGCCGCGGGCGCCTGTCTGGCTATATCTTCATAATATATTTTATCTGGTCGATTGTGCTATGTTGCAGTGTATGCAATGATACACAACCACGAATATAAGACAGAAACCATTTTATTATTCTTTTTTCGATATGTTACTCTGGTTAATATGGTTAATATGAATGCTATTCTCCTCAAATTTCACCTTTAAACTTAAAACACACAGTTCTCAAACACGAAACACATATTTATTCGTATCATCCACATTCCGTTTACTTAAATTCAGACCTGACAACATTGTTTACATAATGAAAAATTTTATATTGGTTTACGAAAATGTGCTGTAGATATACCTGAAATTTCCTAGAATTAACGTTATGAAATTACCTAAAATCTTATTATTTTAATACAATATACGTATACCAGAGTATTATTAGGGACACCTGCGTTCAGTTTTCGATCCAGATAGCAACTATAATATCAAAGGTTTCTCGTGGTATTCCTCAGTCGTTCGGGTTCATGCTGGGATAGTAGTTTCAATTTGGACAAATAGTTTGTTCTTTACTTTTCAATGTCAGTGTGTGTTGATTGTGGCGTTGTGACGCCATGTTGTCTTCTAAGGGATTACCAAGGTTTCGGAAAAGCAGAGGTCTCCATTTTTAGGGTTGAAGTTTTTTCACTATTTAAAATTCAACACGTCGTCACAACTCTGAAGATCACAATATATTTTTTCACCGTTGTGGGAAAAATCAGACCTCAAGTAATTATCCTATAATGCGACGTTATTTCTCAACAAGTATAAGCCTATTTAAAAACCAAGAATAAATAAACAAACAATAAATGTGTGTTAACATCGGCTGTTGGGCTTACAGTACGTTAGTGAACTGCATTCTGATTCTTCTTACCTTCTGTAATTTCTGATACACATTCGTTATATGATCCAGGAGTTTCTTTCTCAGATTCAGACGACTGTCCGTTTCCACAACATAGCTGTACAAAAGCATATAAAATGTAACTTTATTATTAACAGATCTGATTATATAACTTGGTTATATACTTCGTCTTTTCTGTTGAAATAAGCTTGCTTACATGAAAGACAGTACCACATTGAGAGTGGAAATACAGTGTCACACTGCAATTTTAGTTAATACAAATGATGAAAATTGGATACTTTACCGAGAAAATATAAATGGCTGTGTGTGTACTCCCCAAAATATTAATATTATCAGCACAGACCAATAGGTGATGTGTCCCATTAAGTTCCAAATCGACCTGATTTTCTTGGACATTCCTGATGGCATACTCTGAGGCAATAGAGCATCTTCTTGTTTCAGACCATTCTAAATAGGAAATGTATCGGAAAAAAAATTACCTACACGAATTTTTCTATATGAATCGTGTTTCTGTCTTCACTTTTATAGTATTTATATTACTCCCCAAAATATTAATATTATCAGCACAGACCAATAGGTGATGTGTCCCATTAAGTTCCAAATCGACCTGATTTTCTTGGACATTCCTGATGGCATACTCTGAGGCAATAGAGCATCTTCTTGTTTCAGACCATTCTAAATAGGAAATGTATCGGAAAAAAATTACCTACACGAATTTTTCTATATGAATCACTTGAACGTATTTTAATTACCCTGATTAGTTTCATAGATACGCCAAATTCAAGCAAAATATTGTAAAGAGTGTCTTTTTTTGACTGAATCAAAGACGTTCTTAAAGTATATAAATAGTTGATGGACTGTCCCAGTATATTCCCACTTTTTCTCTAGTATCTGGTGAATATAAAAAATCTGATCACAACAGAATCCAAGCTGATGATCGCCAATTATTTCATTGGGATATAGGATCAGCCTCGCCATAAGAATATTCGATAAAATTTTATAGGCAGATGATAAGAGGGACATTCTTCGATAATTATTACACTTATTGTTTATGAGACATATTTCATTAAGAACAATAAGTGTGAAATCATTAAATGCTGTGGTAAACTTCAATTGTTTAGTAGTTAGTTTACGATTAAATTTGTGTAATCCTTGCCATCATTCATTTGAAGTCGAATCTGATGATGGAGGAGATTTATTCCAGCGAAACACTGATAAGATTCTACGAAGCTTTAAAATTTCACAATCTAGAATATGACACTCATGTTTTACATTGCCTTGAAAATATATAAACTCAAAGAGAGGTAACAGAACGATGGTGAAATTAATAAAAATGTTTCATAACATGCACTTTTTACTAGATATTATTAGAGTGATCAAACCTAATAGATAAAATAGGTTTATCATGTAGCACGCATAGTAAATGGAAGATCAAAGCACATTTTAGTTTGAAGAATATTAAAGAAAGTGATCACGTGGTACATTTAGTTGTAGGTGGAAGTAGTCAGATTTCACAGTGAAAAATCTGCTCATTCATAATCAGTTACAGATTACTAAAAATAAGGAATATTCTGTGTTGAGATCATTGTACCTATATAATTTTAAACAATTAAGTATCAAAGCTGATGTTTATTATGAATCTGATTGATGACATACCGGGTGTTTTCCTGATGTTCCTGCAGCATTTCGGGTTACTCTGGACAAACTGGAAGGTTCAGTACATTCTTGAAGTTCTTGATCTAACATAGGAATGACAGATCCCACTTTTGGTTCAGCTTCTAGGTTATTCAATGCAGACAAATCTCCTTCAACTGCAATAAATGCATATATTTGTTTCACACAGCCACGTGAAGGAATAATCATAATATTACAGTTGCATAGTCACAGAAGTTTAAGTTTTCAGAACTTATTAATTGACACTAAGAATCAACAAATGCAATAAAAGAATTACTATTTGGCTTATTTAAAACAGTTAAATTTTCCTTAAATTTATTAGTGGTTTAAACATATGTAATAGTTAGAACGAAATTAAAAATTTCTTTAGGACACCCGTAATTCGATTCTGAATGAATGACGTATGTGAAAGCCTTGATTTTAAATTTCTTTCGCTAAATTGGATTTGTCGACAGGTAGAACAACAAATGCAGGCTTATATACGAGTAGTGTTTCTGTGCTACATTGCAACGTATAATTTAGAACCTGTTAAAAATATTAGACTTATGTGTGAACATAACTAGGAGTTTTGTGTGAAATATATTTTAAATGTTAAGAATTACGAACTAGGCATTGTACGAAATTGTAATGCCAAATGTAAGAAACTTCTCACACTCGAATTATGAAAAAGTGAATTTCATACTTAAAATTTGTTATATTTGTGTGGTGGCCACAGGATTTTGTTTTCAGTAATTTTAAATCTATTTTTGTTTGCCAGTGATGTACAAAACAAAGGTTAAACTTATAATTTCATAGGTTTAAATTCGTAGGTTTTAGGATAGGAAGTAGAAAAGTCTGCTTTAGGTGGTATCTAGTGTCTGCCGACTTTAATTTTTCTTATTTTCGCCGCGAATACAGTTTTAATTATCGCCAGTCACAAACAAGAATGTGTACGCTCATACACAATACTTGTGGAAGGATATACAAGTATTTAAGTAGTAAACATCCGGTACTTACATGACCGCGAGTCATGCTGGGGCAGTCCTACCACAGCGACAAAGGCGACAGATAGATGAACTAGCATTGAAGGTGCACTCATGGTGGAAGTTCCTCGTATTCTCTGTGCCAGAGTGATTTCCTTCTGATGTTTATATGTTACAGATGATGTCACGTGTTGACCTGTTTTTTCCGCAGTGTTACGCCACATGGCCTCAGTGCTGATGGTTTCCTGTCCATGATTACAATTTTTGTAAAATTAATGATAGTAAATGAAGTAATACGAGCATTGGTAAAAAGTATAAACTTTTGTGAGTTGAAAGCAGCACAAATGGAGCGGATACGTTAGAAGGTATGAAAATGTGTCCATGAATGAATTATACTACATTAAATTTATGAAATAGAATTTTGTTATTTAATAATAAAAAGTACTACATAACATGCATGTTTATACCTTTGTGTTTAGGGTATATGTCGCGATATGTTGATTAATATAATATTTTCTACATTATTAAAAAAACACGCATCTTTACGTATATTATATGGAGCTTAATTTTCCGTGCCACAGATTGCCTTTGTAAGCACAGAACTGATTTAATCTAGGAATAAATATATAAAAAATATATTCATGGCTTTAATTACATTTATTTTTATATTATGGGCTTACTCTTCCGAAAGACATGATTTGGTGGCAAATTTGTTAACACACTTAACCAAATTCTAAACAGATGGCAATATTGTGTGGTAGTCTGTCTTTTAATTTATACCTGCATATATTCAGATTTACATGTACAACGAAAATGGTTTGACTTAAGATTTGTATGCACTATTTTCTGACTGTTTTAATGTCTCTTTGCGAAAATAGGGATATAACGTGGAGAGGAAATTGTTTTGCCAATCATAATTTTGAATTATAGCATATTAAAAACATAATGAGAACATCGGTGTCTTGATTTTGGTCCCTACTATTCGCACCTGTCTTAAAAGCGAATTTATAGAATTACAGAACTGTCCAAATGAAGACTGATGTCATATTACTCTACGATGAGATGAAATTATCTCATTCTTTACATATTTTTTAAATAATCTTTTAGGCTTACATCAATTATAACTTATTAATATGTCATTTTTGATCGAACTACAAAACAATGTTTCGTTTAATCTGTAACATCAATTATTATCTCTCTCAAGGATAATTTATAAACTCCATAGGCCCCGGAATAGTTGGAAAATTGGTCCCTGTTCTTGAAAATGTCGTGTTATAATAAACAAATGTAAACAAACGTCTTAGATTTTACAAGAAACACCCACAATATAAATGTAAAGGAAATAACCTTGTAGGATTATTTTCTGGTGACTTTATTATGTTTCTTACTATTGTGTTAAATCTGGCGGTGATGTCAGATTTTTCGTACCTTCCAATTCTGCTAAGACTCCTATAGAATTATAACTATAACGCTGTTACAAAATTTCAAATTTTAATTTTATGGCAGTCTAAATAATTTTTTGTAATAAACTAAATTTGATATGTTTAACAAAGCTTTGAGCATTCTAAATGCAATCCCTCAATGCTTTTTCGTTTTAAAAAATCTATTATTGTCTCAATTGTAAAAAAAATTTCCATGGTGCTTTTATATTTTATAAACTCTGCTTTCAACACAATGAACATTTAATGCTTATTAATCAGTCTTATAGATTAGTGACTGAAGTGTCTGTAAGTAGTCTACATGAAACCGATTAGAGCGAAATTAACGTATAATTACCTAGATTCCTTTATTCCTAAACCCACTAAACTGAGCAAATACTGATAATTATTCATTCGCAGAGTTTATTTTCTATTGTTAACTTCGTTAAACGTATACTTTAAAGTGTTTATTCGTCCATTTATATCATACTTTATTATGTTTTAATAAGGCTTATAAATGATCGACAAACTGAAATCAATACTTGTTTTATTTCATAGCAAAGGGATAATAATTCATGCTGGATACATATACATGTTGTTCATTACACTATTTACGTCTGTTTCTAATTATCTGGCCTCTGTTGTTCCTTGTTCTTCCACTCTTGCATCATCTGGCGGAAATCATCACATTCTTTGCCTGAAAAATTTCAAAATATTAAAGTGTTTCTTCGTTGGCGGGGTCCCAATTTCCTCAATTAAAAATATTCACTGCATACATAATTATAATTCATTGTTAAATTCTGCCTTATTTTGTAATGCACACAAATTTTTTTAACAAAATCTGCTCCAATATAATATTTGGATTGCTTATAAATTATTATAAGTGTTGTTCATTATATAACCTGTCTCTAAACATGTGTTTAAATTGCCGCAGACAATATTTATCATGAATATATTAATATGTAGATTGTAAAAAGCGAAGTTATCCCTGAAACTTAACTAAACAGCGAACCACGCAGACGTTTGGAGGCGTGGAGGTATATATCCACGCTCTTTTTAAAATCTGAGGTAGCTTTGCGTCCGCGCAAATTCACCACTGTTGATGGAAAAACGATACCCATTGGACAGAATTCTGGGTTGGCCCCAATACCGGTCTGGACTTAGAGATGAAGGGAAAAATCCTGCCCTGTCAAGAACGAAACCAAGATCGTTCAGTCTCTAACCCAGTCACTTTTGACTGAGACATGTTGTCTGATCCTGATTGTTGTTTTAACAAGAAATTTGCAAACGTGGACGATATAAATAACTTCAGACTGTACAATTTACCTCTTACGTAACGAGCATAATGCATTGTTTTAACCGTAAGTATCAATGCACTTGTGGGAAGTTGCGGTGTGTGACAGAATGGCGAATGATATTAGAAAATATATTAGATACAAATATTGCGTGAAACTTAGTAATATGTCATTAAATTTTATAACAGCTTAGATGGGTGGGGCATGTAACACACATAGACGGATGACCAATTCACATAACACCTTATCAGAAAACATGAAATCAGCTGATAACATCGAAGATCTGTGCTTAGATAGGATTATGATATTACAATTGATACATTGATTGACGGCAATTTGAATACAGTAATGAAACATTATATTGCATAAAATGCGGACATTTATTTATCCCATGGACGGCTATCAGCTTCTCATGAAGTGTACCGGTTATGGAGTTATTTATTGAATATATATATATATATATATGAGGGGGATTGTATACTTACTGTTAACAATCTGGTTTTCAGGACAGTTCTGAAAACGAAAGAATATACCATGTTATTAACATATTAAATTTTAATACATTCATAGAAATACTCACATTCGAGTTTCTGTATATGTACACGCAGTATGTGGGTGTAAGTGAATGTCAGCTGAACACTAAATTCGTGCAGGTGTTTAAAACTCACGGAGCTTTTTAGTAGCGAATGTACTTCGTAACAATAAGGGCCTAACGTGCGTAAAACTTGCGATTCTGTGATCTATAACAAGAGAATTTTATAGTAATTATATTCTAGTAAGCTTGAACTTTGCTTTTTAAATTTAAAAAAAATTGTTACTTTTCAAATTACAGGATCTGACATGAGATTAATAATAAATGACATACGAATTTTGAATTGGTTTTATGTGCGAAAGTGATGTTATCGTGGTTAATGTGAGATTCCATTTAGTGGTTATGAGTTGTTACAGAGTCAACAAATGCTACTACTTTGCAAGTTATTGTTACACGTTTCTCGTAGCACGTACGACCACATTAGAGCCTGTCGCATTTGAATGATAATGACAGTTTCTACAGGTCTGTGAGAAAAATAGTCTGTATGAGCTCACAAATTTAAAATGAGTGACCCCCAACACATGAACTCTAACTCATTAATTTGATAACTGTTTATATCTTTCTGTTCTGATTTGAATACGTCACATCTCCTGCATTTTATCTACCACTTTTATAAAGTATCCAGTCTGTCACATCCATCAGTATTCATCTCTCGTGACTGTAGAACAATTTTTCTAATGAAGATGACTGTCTTCTATTATGTTAGGCTGTGTAGTTTGAAAGAATTTTACCGACATTTCAGAGGTGATTACTGCCTCCATCCACAGAGCGACAATTGTTTTAATGATGGAGGCAGCAAATCCCTCCAAATGTCTCTAAAATTCTACCAAATTACACGGTGTAACATTCCAAAAGACAGACGTCTCCTTACTTGAGGCTGCAGAGATCTAAAATGTAATATATATAATTCTTACCAGAATGACCTCATATTTTGCACAGTGATAAGCCATAATTCCAGCCGGATTGCAAGTCCACTCCAGCTGCCCACTGTTCATTGTTTCTGTACGCAATAAAACACAACACGTGTATTGAGGAGGATTACAAGTGCTTTAGTATTGTAACGTAAAGAAAAATAACCAACCCGAAGCTGGATATCCATTTCACTCGTCAGTTGCCATGTGACAACACCAATATTCTATACTAAATTTTCGTGTGAATGTTGAACATAGAACACATTTTTTTATCTAAATACTGTATTTCAAAGTATTTAAATGTAAATAAATAAAAAATAAAATTTCTTTATATGTTATTACATTGGATATCAAGCCGCCACACGGATTAGACTTTGTACGTATTTATGACTGCCATGTTTGTACCAATCTTATGTTGTATTTTACGCTCCATCCGATATTATTAGGACAATAATTTAAATTAGAAGACGATAGGTAGAACATGAGGAATGTTTAGATCAGTTTAGTTTTGAAAATCTGAATTTCAGAAAATACTCCCGAGATTTCGGATTACATTAAATGATTACGTAGATCAACAAAGTAATTGTAAGTCTATGTGTGTGGGAGCTGACTAAATCCCCTGTAGCTCATGAATATTAAAATTAATTTTGGTGGTCTCTTGGTTTCTTAAAACGCGCAATTTGTCTTCGTTAGCTGAGCGACTTTCGCCTTAATAAAAATTATTTTCCTCCAGTGGTAGGTCGTATTTAGTTGCGAGATCGCGGTGATGAATGCCAGTTCTGTGGCATTTTTATTCCAAATAATCTACTTTCTTTCAGATAATGTATTCTGCTTACCATTAGCACGTTCATTGGCTTTCTTAACACAACCTGGACCTGCAATTCTTGCAGCTTTCTTCAAAGAAACGTCTGTATATGCCTCATCGATGAGGTTCATAAATTCTTCTTCCTTAACGTAACCATCTGCATCTAACTAGAAGTCGGGAATAATGATTAAAATTTATAACATTCTTCACTTACCTTCCGTCTTGTGTATAGCTAGCAAATTACATAGGGTATAATGCTTAAAGTTACAGAGAATATTTTAATGCAACGCCCAGTGTTCTCGATGAGATGGAATTGGTTTCCCGATTGGAATCCAACGGCATTCAACCTTCATGACCATTAGTGTTGACCTTAACACCTAAAATAAATCTACAGCCATCGTTTGTTCTTTGTGTCACAACTCAGTTCGGTGTGCTGTTTTAATGAAGGGAAATTCGTTTTGGTAAATAATTTTTATAGGACCTAAAGAAGGTGGAATTTCTAATGGAAATTTGATTAAGAAAATGTTTCCAAAACTCAAACTGTGGAAGATCAAGGTTTTTTGAAGCCAGAAAATTCAGTACGCCTGCAATTGGAATACATTGCTTATAAATAGGGTGTCCATCGTATTAGAGACGGTAACACACAGTTATATGATGTATCCTTTAAAACTTAGTGTGTCTATCTGTACGATCGTGCTGTGTAATATCACATTATGCTTTTTAGAAACCTCGGAATTTGTAAAGATGATTTGTGCTCACTTTTTATAATGATATTTTATCCTTCGCAAAAACTTTCGGTCTCGCGGTCGGTTGGACACACAACTAAATAAACTGAATCACTAAATCGAACACTTGCATAAAGCAAGATATTATAAAAGGTGCGTGATGAAACACGTAACAAGTTTCATTATTTCATAAGTTCATTTTAAGAGAGAAGGTGAACAGCTTTCGCTCAAACTAGTTAAAAAGAGTGTAACATTATTTATTGTAGTAAATTTAAGGCTTAATATATGTGATTTGTTGTTGAACTTACAACTTTTTTCTCATCGCCAATGCACACAGCAATGCTCTAAAAACAAATGTAATTGTAAACATTACTATTTATGAAATGACGACGTACATACAGAACAACTTCGAATACGATATTAAAATACAATAAAATCTGGAAGAAAACATCATTTGAAATCTGATAAACATCTGACTAAACGTTGCATTTAAGAAATTATATTTAAGTTTATATAATTTATACACCTGAAGATGGTTCTTTTAGAACTGAAACATGTCGTGTAAAAAAGTGATGATCTAATGTAAATCGAACATTTCGATAGAGAACATCATTTTAATATATTTTAAATATTTAAATGTTAATTATAGTAATATTTTAATATTTAATAGGAATTTTATTGTGATTAGACTGACAAGATTTAAACTAATATTACTATTTATGATTGAACCACATATATCCTCACGTTAAATACGGTGCAGTTCTAAGACAGTAGACTTATCTTTAATGTTATATTGACCATGTTATATTAAAATTTTATTAATGTTAATTTGATTGGCGTTACTTATAATTGTATGGATTAAAATCATTATAATCCATAGTACTTCTCTTATTTTCTGCATTATGTACTGCCAGGGAATTTAATTGTTAATTTCGAAGTTCGATGTATGTGTTGGCTGCAATTATAGTTAACAAAATTATGTAATGCTTTAAAATTATTTTTTTTAAACTTCTTAAATTACCCTTATTTGATAAAAAATAAAATAACTTTCAGAATTATCCTTGTTTACTTACGCACGCTCCTGTAAATTTCTGTCGTTCACCTAAAATATAGAAACATTAAGAATGTACTAATATTTATGTAATTAAATTGAAGTGCTGTAATAACAGAATCAGATAATATGTAATAATCCTAGAAAACTTTACAAGCTTAATCCTCTTTTGCTTATTTTTAATTACTTGCTTTAATTATATTTTATCTCCGTAAGTGAAACACCGTTACTTATTTGTCTTCAAGCTTCATATACTTTAAAATTTGCCTACCTTCTAACATAGTTACGAGGTTAAAGTATGCTTTAATAGTACTTAATAAAATGATTTATATCTTAATTGCGTCATGTTTGTGTTTTATTGATACAATATTTTATTTTCCGTCTATACACAAACTTAAAATAATGTTGTTTAAAATTACTTAAAATTATAACATTCTCAGTAGATACTGCATCTTGTTACATTTTTTGACGACATGTTTCGATGTGTATTACATCATCATCAGGTCTATCAATTTTAATTTTTAATTCGAGTTATATGACGGGAAACGTTCGAGCTCTTAAAGAATATTGAGAGCGGTATATCTTATTCCAAATCGTTTAACTTGGTTCATTTGCCCATCATCTGATACTTCTAACAGAACACAACGTTTTGAAATTTCGATGTGTTTATGTTCTCACGTGATAAGGAGGCAAATACAAGTTCAGTTTTGATTGCGTGCACCTGAGTGGGTTCCTCGTGGCTTCTCATCTGAGGACGGAAACATAATAACTATCCCCAAAGTTCTGTTCGGATTACAAGAAGATGGACAAACTTCAGAAAACCAGTAAAACTTGTAGGAATTATTTTCATTCATTATTCACACAAGGTTAGATAATTAAAATAACTTTATAATTTTATGTACGCACAAATATATTTCTATTAAAATAATTCCTGTTTTTATAATGTCTCTAATTCCGAATAAACTATAATTTATTATAATTTTCTTCATTGGCACCTTTAAACTCATGGGCTTTTGAAACTCCGGCTTATTTTCAGTGTATTTTTCTCTGGTATGTATTTATAATTGTAAGTATTTGTAAAAATCATTCATACAGGACATCGCCATGATGATAAAGGACCACTGAAAATTAATTAAAATTCTACCAAACTACAGGTGAGAGCCATCTTTTTACCCACTATCGTGAGAATCTCAAATCCTGCTGCTGTCTATTATTGGCACAACTTAGTATAAGATTATCCCAGATGTTTATGTTCGTATGCAACATTTATTTAATTAATTTTAATTTTTTATAATCGAATGCTATAAGCTTATTATTTTTATCATTTATTACAAAAATATTGCATATAAGGTAACAGCGATTTATTCAAAATACATGGGACTGTTCATGATCAATAGTAAAAAATATGAAAACGAATAAACAGCGTTTTAAAATGTTTGTATACAAAATTAATCACAATGTTTGGATCGTTAGATTAATCGTTCAAATTTCTAATAAAATTAAGAGAATTATGAAAATATCTACACTTTTAAAGGAACTGTACTTGAAGTTCTTACCCAGGAGCTTCTTTATAATAAAATTTTAAATGACAATGTAGCAGGAGTTTATTAATTGCAAAGTGTGTAAATGCAATTCACTTTTATTTACTGATATCTCTAGATGTGTTCTTTTAACATAGATACCGAAAAGAGTTCTACCATCATGATGCTATAGACTAATGTCTAGTTTTATTTATTTATAATTTTGTGAGTTACGCTAATGTTTTCTACATAATTGCTTCTTTATTAAAATATCTAATTACTTACTGGATATATTCGATGTCTATCCGCAGCATTACGCTTAAATCGAGACAAAGTGGAAGATTCAGCGAATTGTTCAAGGTCATCTTCCAATGAAGTAATATCGAGCTGTAGTTCTTTCGCTGAAAATGTCTGGTGTTCTAGACTACTTAATTCGGGCAGAATACTGGCAACTGAAATAAACGTCTCGATTTTTTTATCAGTATTATAATATCATCATTGTATAAATCTATTTCATTCATTTACACGTAATCGTTTTTAAGCAGTTCATAATTTTAAGATTGTGTGCTCTTACCAGCGAACTTCATTTTCAGGGCTCAAGATAACACACTCTTCGGAACATAGTAAGAGACCCTT